ACTGGTGCAGTTATCTGGAGGCTTGAGTGGAGCTGGGTGGCCTGAAATGGCCCAACTCACCTGGTCTGGCATTTGGTGCTTCCTGTTGGCTGCCACAGGTCTTCAGACTGGCCTGCACTTCGTCACACAGCAGCATTTCAGAAAGGCGAACCTCAACACACAAATGCTTTTCACACCTCTGTTTGTGTCGTGCTTTTTGTTGTCCCTTTGGTCAGAGCAAGTCAGGCCACCCAGCTCTATATTCAGTGTTGGAGGGAACGTTACAAGAGTAAGGAAAAAAAGATGCTTGATTCTATGTAACAGTGTTAGGTAGGTAGGTAGGTTAGGGAGGGCCACAACCTATCTCAGCACAGTTCCTTGTTGAAATTTTGCTAACCCTGACACCTGGTTCACCTAAAAGGTAAATCAAGTTGTGTGGGTATGAATTTAAAAGGTGTGTGAAACCAATGGGAAAAGGATGGCATCCATTAGGTAAAGAGTGTTTTTGGCCATGGATGTTAGCAGTAGTATAATCATATAAACTCAAATGTTAATAGTTCTGTTAATGTTCTCCATCAAGAACACTCAGATGATTGGTTATTTGATGATGTCAAGAAATTATTTTAAGTGAGACAATGGTATAGTAGTTAGGTTTTTGTAGAGATCCTTACCTTTTAGGGGTATATCTTGAAATACAGACAAAATTTCTGGGATTTACCCTAAAAAAATCTTGGTTGTGGGGTCACGTGCAGGGAGCAGAGTGGAAATGAGACAAGATTGTCCATGAGGTGGTGATTGTTGGACTGTGAGGGGTGAGGAGAGCATTACAGGCTGTACTCCTCTCCATATTTTGTGCACAAGAATTCCCACAATAAAAAGTGAAAAAGATCTTCAAAAAATCAAAGCTGGAACTGCTACATGATCTAACAAATGAGTATTTAACCAACCTAATTGAAGTCAGGATTTTGGAGAGATACTGGTACTCCCATGTTCACTGTGCATTATTCACAGTAGCTGGGATCTGCAAACATCCAAAATGTCAGTCCATGGATGAATGGATAAAGTGTTGTATGCACATGTACTAGAATATTATTCTGGTTTAAAAAAGAAGGAAACCTTGACATTTGTTACAACATGGCTGGCCTGGGGACACTATGCTAAGTGAAAACAGGACGATCACGGGACAAATATTGTGTAAATTCCACTTGTATGAGGTATCTAAAATCATCAGACTCCTAGATGCAGAGAGTAGACTGGCATTTGCCTGGGGGTGGGGAGAACAGACCATTGCTAATTAACAAGTGTGAAGTTTAGGCCTGCAGGATGAGTAAGTTCTAGAGGTCTACACCACATTTTCCCTCTCGATAACAATATTGTGACCCTTTTAAAATCTGATAAGAGGGTAGATCTCATGTTAAGTGTCCTTGCCACAATAAAATAAGAAGAAAACTGTTCTTAAACATTAAAAACAATGTCCAGATCATTCTATGGCCTCAAAGACTGGTAGTTGTCACAGATGCTACCTTAAATTATTTCTCACAGTTCTCTTGGTTAGGTGGGGGTATGCAAGCCATTAGGGTTGGGTTTAAGACCCTACTTACTCCTTGCCTAAGGTTTTAGTTTACAAAGAGTATCTATATTTAATTGAAAGAGTTAGTAGGTATTTGGTGAAAGGTCCAACACTTGGGAGAAATCAGATCTCCCAGGACAGACTCTGTCTCCCTTTGTGTTCCTGTGGGGAGGACGCTCATTGAGCTTGTATTTGATGAGTTCTGACACTTGCCAACATTCTGAATAAGCCTGTGTTAAGGGCTGTTCTCTCCAGGTGTTTTCTAGCTTCTAGTGTTCTTGACTCGAAGTCATAGTTTTCCCTAGAATCTGAAGACTTTGGAAAAGCCATCGTAGTCCAGGAAGTCTCTCTTCCTGTCATTCCCTGGCATTGGTGACTCTAGAACTTTTATTATAAAAATAAAACAAAAACACCATGAGTGAACAACAGCCCCCATTTCATCTTACTTTGTCCCTGACCATCAAGCCCAAGGCTCCTCTTTGGATCTATTGGGATTTCTGTGGCCCATTCCCTTTCCCCATGTAGTTAATTTCTTTAAGTAGATAGACTTTTCCAAACTCCAGATACTATGTAAAATACCTAACTGAATTTCATTTGATGGTATTGCCTGGATAATTTTTCTAGATTTTTCTTTTTATTTAAACTGTTCCAGTTGTCTCTACCTTCCTAGACAAAAGGCAGTTTTATAGACAGAGGGCAGTTAGAGTGAATTTCTCTCTATGCACAGTCTGCGCCTCTCTGAAAGGAACTGTGAGCAGAATGTTATTTGATCCTTGGATCACTGAGGTTAGGCAAGGAATTAGAAATAGCTGACTCTACTTTAGCCCCTAATCTTATCATTCCAAATGTGTGCTTAATAAAAAGCAGAATCAACACTTTCAGGTCAGAATAAGTTCAAATGGTCTAGAATTTTTATATATAGAAATGAAAAAAAATAGAAATACTTAAAAATGCTGTCCTTGGTTAGATGCGGGATTATTCGCAAACCTTTCCCACAGCACGCCATTGCAAGTTTTAAAGTCAAGATGATACATGTGATGAATCAAATGTCTAATTTCTTTTCCAGTTCTTCCAGTTACAGTGGAGAAGGGGAATGTTTCTAGGAAATAGAACTTCCAACAAGATTTAGTAGAGAGAGACCTTTAGGTGAACTCTTATCGGTTCTTGCCTCAACGTCCTGCCCCCCAAAGAAACCTGTTCAACCAGTAAATTCTAAAGGAATACAATAGTCAGATGATTGTTAAATTGTCTTTGCGTATCTGAAAGTTTCTTAGTACATAGATAGGAGTTTTCACTAAATTGATCTTTTTTTTTCTTTTTTATTAAATGATAGCTGTGTACATTAATGCAAACATGGGGTACAGTGTAGTGTTTTCATATACAATTTGAAATATTTTCATCAAACTGGTTAACATAGACCTTGTGTCATTTACTTAGTTATTGTGTTAAACCATTTATACACTAGTTCTAGAAAAATTCACTTGTACCCTACTAAATTGATCATATCAAAAATTTGAGCTGGAGAAAATAGCAGGGGGCAGATAAAGGTGGATGCCCTCTTGGTAGACAGGCCTTGTGTCTCAGGGGCTGATATGCTGCTGTGAAGTGGTATGACAATGGCCAACCTAGCCTTGCCTCCCCAAGCTCATCTTGCTAGATGAACACAGATGTGAAAACTTTAGACACACTGGGCAATTGATTTTATAATTGCCAGGTTTATAACAGCCATAGATAAGTGATGCTAAAGCTATATAGGCCAGTTGGCTATCTGGGTCTTTATATTACTTTTCTGTTCTACATAGGACATTGGGTTGTGTAATGTGACTGAGAGCACTCCCGAGGCTAGAGAGCTTGCTTATTTGGGGACGTGGACCATGTGGCTGACTCCATGGTTGCCAAGTCGGAATGCCTGCTGGACATGGTTGAGCCTAGCCCATCTGGGCAGCACAGTGGCCCAACCTACCATTTCTAGGCGACAGAAGAATTTATGGGCATCCCAGGCTGCTCCACCTGAGAGCATGTGTAGGGAAGGGCAGTTATACTTACTGAGGACCAGCCACACATAGAAGCTTTCACAAGTTATTCTCATCACAAGCCTGCAGGTGCAATACAGTGATGTTCATTTGGTGAACTTGAGAGAGTGCAAATCATTTGCTACAGGTCACACCTGCTAGTGGCACAGCTTGCACACCAAGCTCTAGCCAACACTAAAACTTATGATCTTTTTACTGACCAGTTTTAGAGAAGGTAGGAATAAAAAATTAAGCCAGAGATACAGATGAATGTAGTCTGGGTCTAGGAAGAGTAAGTGTGCAGATAAGCAGTGCTGGCTGCCAGAAGTAAGTTGGAGAGTAATGGAAAAAGCAGTGAGTTTAATGTGAGATGAGAAAGCAGTGGACAGAATCCAGGATAGAGCAAGATTAAGAGATGGGCAAGGTGGGCATCTGCTCTGGGCATCAGCTAGGCACAGGACTAAATATCTCCTAGGAGAAAGGCAGAGTGTAAGGGTTTGGTGCCCTTCAGCTCAGGTTTCCCCATGAAAGCAAGCTAATGTTGGTTCTGCACAAATATGCATCACTCTTAAGAGGAAGCTTAGAAAAGATACTTTATTCCAGGAGTCCAGTCTGTTTCTGTTGCATGTCTTTGTCACTCACATCTGCAGGCTTCTAGTGGAACTACTGGGGTCCACCCCAGAGACCAGGCGGCTGAGCACAGCCTCATGGCTCAGCCCTGCTCAGCCAAGATTCGGGAATTAAGCAGGGCCTGCTGCTGTGCTGTGCCTCTGGGAAAGATTTATGAGTGGGGCCACTTGCCGTTCACCTGGGGTTTGTGGCTCTTGTCTCCTCTGTGTTTTTCTGAGCGCTTTCTTTGGGAAAGCAAGCTAAGAAATGATTTGGAACTTGCCTTCCTAGGCTTGGGGCAGAACGGGTGCTCCTGGACCACAGCACAGCCAAGGGAGGGCAGGGAGAGATGATGGCTCAGCCAGGCCAAATCAGGTCGCATCTAATTACAGTGGTCCTCAGACTTTACTCCTGGTATGGTTGCCCCTTTCTGTCATTAGATGGGAAGAAAGCCCAGGAGCGGGCAGCTTTCCACGTGTGCTGTGTACTCTTCGCACGTGTGGTTATGCCGCTCAGCTGAGGCCTGCAGTCACGGCAGAGGTCTGTGAAAGGACGCTAAGCCTGACCTCGCCCTGGGCGTGTTCTGCTTTTCCAGGTGGCGCTCAGACACGAGGACGGCGATGAGACCGCGGAGCCGCCGCCCAGCGGGCGCCGCGACCGGAGGCGCGCCAGCGTGTGTTCCAGCGGCGGGGGAGAGCACCGCGGCCTGGACCGCAGGCGGAGCCGCAGGCACTCGGTGCAGAGCGTCAAGAGTCCCCTGTCGGCTCCCACCAGCCCCTGCTCCCAGTCGGCTCCCAGCTTCAAGCTCAGTCAAGTGCAAGATCTCCGTGAAAAGTAAGCATTTACCCAACAGTGCAGAGGGTGCAAGGATGCCACTGAAAAGAGGGAGGGAAGTCACAAGGTTACAGATGTGCAGGCCATCTATCCCTGCTGACCACTCAGAGCCCCCAGCTTGTTCCCTGCCTCTTCTCGAAAATCCCCCAAATCCCAGGGAACTTTCCTCGCAAGATAGCCCTCAGTGACATGCACAGAACTGACCTAACTAATGCCATGAACTCTTCTTCAGCCACCTGATTTTTAAAAAATATTATTTAATAGTTCAGTTTCAGTGTTCAGAAAAGCTGTACTTTGTCAAATGGAAAAGAATCTACAACACAAAACTTCGGCCCAGAAATAATTGGTATGCCACCATAGAAACTTACTGTTGTGGGCTGGGCATGGTGGCATGTGCTTGTCATCTAGGCTACTAGGAAGGCTGAGGTGAGATGATCACTTGAGGCCAGCCCTGGGAGTTTGAGACCAGCCCTGGGTGACATAGTGAGACTCTGTCTCAAATTAAAAAAAAAAAAAAAAGATGATGGTGGCTGCAGTGGCTCAGGCCTGCAATTCCAGCATTTTGGGAGGCTGAGGTGGGGGGTTAGCTCGAGGTTAGGAGTTCAGTACCAGCCTAGATAACAAGGCAAGACCTCAACTCTTTAAAAAACAAAACCATTAGCCAAGTATGGTAGCCTGCGCCTGTAGTCCCAGCTACTCAAAAGACTGACTGGAGCCCAAAAGTTTGGGGCTGTGGTGACCTGTGACCACACCACTGCACTGCAGCCTGGACAACAGAGTGGATCCGATCTCTAGAAGAAAAGAAATGAGACTCTAAGAATCTTGAAATACTCAGAGCAATGCAGGAGTATCTCAAGGTTGATTTTAGTTAAACAGAACAAAGCAGTGTAAGTTTCAAAATATCTGTTTACCTCTTTATCACTTAGTCATTCAGCAAACGTTTTTACTGACTGTTATAGGCCAGTACTATTCAAAGCCTTGAAGCTGCATGTAGGGTGGCCATAAATTTTGTGTGCAATTTATTTCAATTGCACACAAAGTTTATGGCTACTCTGTATATGTGTGTGTGTGTAAATATATATGTATATGGAAACAGTGTGATCTTTGTCCTTATAAACCTGACATCTTTCCTCAGGTGGTAAGAAAGAATGAATGAGAAAGATAGGAAGAAATAGAAAGGTTGACAATCTGTGAAAAGTTACAAATATTAAAGTATAAGGTTTGACAAAATCTGGGAACCCAGAGTGGTTCTGTATAATAGAGGTGCAACAAAAGATTAGCCCTGCTGCTATAGGGTCTGGGTCCAGTTATATCTTCTCAAATGGATGCTGTCAGTTCACTGAGATGATGGGTTCCGTGGACCATCCCTGTCACCCGGGTTCATAGGGCCTGAATGATACATTCACATCCTGCTGCTGACTGAGTGGAGCCGTTCCATTCTCTGTCATTTGGCAGGAGCATTCTCCCCCACCAGGGAGAACCTTCTGGGAGTGAAATTTAGGTTACCAGGTATATGGTGAGGAAGAAAATAACTTAGAATAGGCTATATGACATTAAGAAAGAGAATGATGAAGATATATTCCTTCTTTCCATCTCTAAGGGAGTACGCACTATCACCATTACCAAGAGGTCCCCCGAGCAGTGCAGTACTCAGGGAATCACTTGAGTGGGCCTCAGGCCACACCTTTGAGTACCTGCTACCCCAGAAGGAGAAGGGCACTGGTCTGAGCGATGTGTTGACACCCCTTTTCTACTTCATAGCCCCAGGGTTTTTCTGTTTCTGAGACTGTATTCAGCAAGCTCTGTTTTAGTGAAAAGAAGACCTAAACTTCAGAACAGATTGAAGAATGAAAACATGTACCATATGCATTGCATTTTGTGACCCAAGATCTTAGAGGAACTTTGAGCCAGTGCTCAAAGGCACAGGAAGCTCTTTCCCAGCACCACCTCTAGCCAATGGCGTAAGCGATAAACTTGGGGAGAGTTGAAGAATGTGTCCAAGGTATCTAGCCTTTTCTCTTTTCTGCCACACATTGGAAAAATAACAGTTGTTTTGGGCCATAGAGTAGATACACAAACACAAAAGCTGTTTAGCCCACTGGCTAAAAATCACTGCCCTACAGACTCAAGCCTGCAAGGCCGTGTGCTTTAATTCTAATAAGGACAAATATGACTCTGAACTCAGAGTTGGTTTCTTAAATAAAACTTTGGGCTAAGCATCAGCATGATAGGGTATAAGTTTATTGGTCATCTTTCATCTAAAAGCACCTTTGTGTGACTGTGCCATATTAAGTTTCATCTTAACCCTTAAAATTTACAGATTTGATTGGAAGGGAGAAAAATTTGGATGCTTTCATTTATGACTGAGAAAATTATTTTGCATCTAATTAACAAAAAAGTTCTCTGGTTTAGACTGTAACAGAATGTCTTCAGTATCAACCCTTGGACCAGAAAGGTCTTAAGATTTGTCTAGCCCAAAGCAGGAGCCCTTCCTATTACATTTTCAAAAGATGGGATGAGAGGGGAACACTTCCAGGCATGGCCACTTTCTTTATGAAGGTGCACCATTTTATCCTTGAACTGTTCAGCTCGTTAAGCAAGTCTCTGACCTAAAGTTGCCTCCCCCAAATGTGGGGGAGGAACCATACATCCTGGTTCTTCTCTGTTGACCCCAAGGGGCTCTTTCCTGCTCTGTGTCAGTCTTTCTGATGATGACTTGGGACTTACCACGTGAACGTTACCTTTCATCCTGTTGATTTCCACACAACATTCCAACCAGTAGAGGTAATTTTGAATTTCATTCAGTCAGTGATGTTAGCAGTTGTGCCGTCCGGCTTTCAGTCATGTGTGTATTTTAATGTACATGGAAGAGTGAGCTGGCACGTGGTGGATGCTGACAACTGGTTGGAGAGTGGAAGGTACAGATCAGAGCTACGTGCCTCAGAGCCAGGGTTTGCAAACCTCTGTCAAGAGCCAGATAATAACTGTGGTCAGCTTTGCAGGCTAGTCTCTATAGTGACCACTCAACTGAGTTCTGTCTTTGTAGCGCATAAACAGCCATCGACAGCGGGAACCCGAATGAACATGGCTACATTCCAGTGGAACTTAATTTATGGACACTGAGACTTGACTTGTCCTGAAATATTAATTCTTTTTTTTTTAACCATTAAACATGTGAAAATCATTTTTAGCTCACAGGTGGTACAGATTTGGCCCATAGGCTGAAGTTTGCCAACCCCTATTCCTTGGGGCTGGGTTTCTTGAGGGAGATTGAGGTGGGGGGTGATCTGGAAATGGCCAAGAGGAATATGTGAGATATGAGAGAAACCCAGTGTGCCATGTGAGAGGGCTGCAGGGAACGGTGTTCTGAGGTTTGGGGTTAGAGCAAGGAAGTAAAAGAAATACCTCATGAAGTGATTGAGTTTATCAGGGATCCTGATGGTGGCCGGTCACGAGTTACCAGGGCTCAGAGGAAGATTGGGGGACACACAGAGCTAGGTGGGGAGGTTAAGGCAACCTGGTATTAGTCTTGGTGGTCCTTTCAGGCAGTGGTTCTCAACTAGGGATGATCCTGCCCCGCCTCCAGGGGATATCTGGACACACTTTTGATTGTCATAACTGGAGCAAAGGCATCTAGTAGGCAGAGTTCAGGAATTATGTTCTGCAGTGCGTAGGACATCCCAGACTAAATAAAGAACTATTTGTTCTAAAATGTCAGTAGTGCTGAGACAGAGACATCCTGCCTTGAGGAGAAGGCAGGTAGCTGGTTGTAATATCCACCTCCTTAGGACAAAGCTGAGGTAGGGAATGTTTGGGCTTTCTTAGATGGGAGTCTGTGTACCTACTTTACATGGTCACATGCATGGGTCAAAATTGACTTTTTTGAGAAAATATAAATTAGGTATAGAATAGAAAAAACATAAATAGAAGATATAAATTGAAGTTAACTCTCAATTCTTGGAGGCTAAGGAGGAGCAGGGAGCTAAGCTGTCCTGACCTTTTGAGGGGCTCATAGCTGATGCTTACCTATTCGTGGCCCAGTGGTGGTGAGATGAGGGGAGCCAAACTTCAGGGCTGAGTTGGGGGCTGGGAGGAGGTAACTGGAGGAGTATTGTTTTCTGTTTCCCTGCAGGAGTGGGGAAGGGTTATTGACATCTCTCCACCAGCCACAGGAAGCAGTGGGCACATGGGAGAACCATGGAATCATGCTGCGCGGGTGAACTCATTTTCCTGGGTTTTGACAGAGAAGAGGCAAGATTAGATGCCTGTGTTCCAGGACAGCACTTTGCTCTCTGGTCTCTAATGCTTTGTCCACAAGATTTCATTGCAAGGGTTACAGACTTTACTCAGGATCTGCAGCATTAGGGAACAGCTCTATCTCTTTTTTGGGAGCAGTTGGCAATGAGTAACCAATTTAAAGCAGAAAGTGTTGTAGAATGTTAATCTACAAAATCTGCAACCTGCGTGACCGGGTCAGTCCTGGCTCTCCGAGGAAGGTTTGCCCACGTGCATTGAAGCCACAGCAGGCAAGGTAGATGAGGGCATAGGTGTGGTCATGTGTAAACTCAGGGTGGTTGGTACCTGTACTTCTTTAATAGGGTGGGGGGATAGTGAAGATAGCACCAGTGACGGCTTCATCCAAGGTGGTGGTGGTTATTGTTACCGAATGCCCTGGAGCTTTTCCGGATGTTATTCTATTAAAGAAGGTAATTGTTAAATAAATCTGGACATGAACTGGAGAGAATATTTTGTGCACTGGCATAAACATGCTAGAGGATTTCACAACAACCAGATTAACACCCACTGGTACCGTGAGCAACAAGTAGCTACTTGGGAAGATTTATCTGATGGTAAGTTATTTGTTATAAATTGGATTCACTGACACAGGCTGATGACCTCCTGACATAGGTGTGATTGGGAGACGGCCAGTGATGGCTTTGTGAGTATTGAGTAACAAGGTAGGCTGGAGCGGAGAGGGGTGCTGGGGGCAGACTGGGAGT